TTGGAATAACAGAGACTTGGTGGGATAATGCACATGACTGGAGCATTGTCATGGATGGATATAAACTGTTCAGGAATGACAGGCAGGGCAGAAAAGGTGGGGGAGTTGCACTGTATGTAAGAGAGCAGTATGACTGCTCAGAGCTCCAGTATGACACTGCAGAAAAACCTGAGAGTCTCTGGATTAAGTTTAGAAATGTGAGCAACAAGGGTGATGTTGTGGTGGGAGTCTGCTATAGACCACCAGACCAGGGGGATGAGGTGGACGAGGCTTTCTTCTGGCAACTAACAGAAGTTACTAGATCACAGGCCCTGGTTCTCATGGGGGACTTCAGTCACCCTGATATCTGCTGGGAGAGCAATACAGCAGTGCACAGACAATCCAGGAAGTTTTTGGAAAGTGTAGGGGACAATTTCCTGGTGCAAGTGCTGGAAGAACCAACTAGGGGCAGAGCTCTTCTTGACCTACTGCTCACAAACAGGGAAGAATTAGTAGGGGAAGCAAAAGTGGATGGGAACCTGGGAGGCAGTGACCATGAGATGGTTGAGTTCAGGATCCTGACAAAAGGAAGAAAGGAGAGCAGCAGAATACGGACCCTGGAGTTCAGAAAAGCAGACTTTGACTCCCTCGGGGAAGTGATGGGCAGGATCCCCTGGGAGAATAACATGAGGGGGAAAGGAGTCCAGGAGAGCTGGCTGTATTTTAAAGAATCCTTATTGAGGTTGCAGGAACAAACCATCTCGATGTATAGAAAGAATAGTAAATATGGCGGGCGACCAGCTTGGATTAACAGTGAAATCCTTGCTGATCTTAAACACAAAAAAGAAGCTTACAAGAAGTGGAAGCTTGGACAAATGACCAGGGAGGAGTATAAAAATATTGCTCAGGCATACAGGAGTGAAATCAGGAAGGCCAAATCACAATTGGAGTTGCAACTAGCAAGGGATGTTAAGAGTAACAAGAAGGGTTTCTACAAGTATCTTAGCAACAAGAAGAAGGTCAGGGAAAGTGTGAGCCCCTTACTGAATGGGGGAGGCAACCTAGTGACAGAGGATGTGGATAAGCTAATGTACTCAATGCTTTTTTCGCCTCTGTCTTCACGAACAAGGTGAGCTCCCAGACTACTGCACTGGGCAGCACAGCCTGGGAAGGAGGTGGTCAGCCCTCTGTGGAGAAAGAAGTGGTTCAGGACTATTTAGAAAAGCTGGACGAGCACAAGTCCATGGGGCCAGAAGCACTGCACCCGAGGGTGCTAAAGGAGTTGGTGGATGTGATTGCAGAGCCATTGGCCATTATCTTTGAAAACTTATGGCGATCGGGGGAGGTCCCGGATGACTGAAAAAGGCTAATGAAGTGCCCATCTTTAAAAAAGGGAAGAAGGAGGATCTGGGGAACTACAGGCCAGTCAGCCTCACCTCAGTCCCTGGAAAAATCATGGAACAGGTCCTCAAGGAAACCATTTTGAAGCACTTTGAGAAGAGGAAAGTGATCAGGAACAGTCAACATGGATTCACCAAGGGCAAGTCATGCCTGACTAACCTAATTGCCTTCTATGATGAGATAACTGGCTCTGTGGATGAGGGGAAAGCAGTGGGCTTGACTTTAGCAAAGCTTTTGATACGGTCTCCCACAGTATTCTTGCCAGCAAGTTAAAGAAGTATGGCTGGATGAATGGACTATAAGGTGGATAGAAAGCTGGCTAGATCATCGGTCTCAATGGGTATTGATCAATGGCTCCATGTCTACTTGGCAGCCAGTATCAAGCGGAGTGCCCCAAGGGTCAGTCCTGGGGCCGTTTTTGTTCAATATCTTCATTAAGGATCTGGAGGATGGCATGGACTGCACTCTCAGCAAGTTTGCAGATGACACTAAACTGGGAGGAGTGGTAGATACACTGAAGGGTAGGGATAGGATAAAGAGGGACCTAGACAAATTAGAGGATTGGGCCAAAAGAAATCTGATGAGGTTCAACAAGGACAAGTGCAGAGTCCTGCACTTAGGATGGAAGAATCCCATGCACTGCTACAGACTAGGGACCGAGTGGCTAGGCAGCAGTTCTGCAGAAAAGGACCTAGGGGTTTTAGTGGACGAGAAGCTGGATATAAATCAACAGTGTGCCCTTGTTGCCAAGAAGGCTAACAGCATTTTGGGCTGTATAAGTAGGGGCATTACCAGCAGATCGAGGGACATGATCATTCCCCTCTATTCAGCATTGGTGAGGCCTCATCTGGAGTACTGTGTCCAGTTTTGGGCCCCACACTACAAGAAGGATGTGGAAAAATTGGAAAGAGTCCAGCGGAGGGCAACAAAAATTATTAGGGGGCTACAGCACATGACTTATGGGGAGAGGCTGAGGGAACTGGGATTATTTAGTCTGCAGAAGATAAGAATGAGGGGGGATTTGATAGCTGCTTTCAATTACCTGAAAGGGGGTACCAAAGAGGATGAATCTAGACTGTTCTCAGTGGTAGCAGATGACAGAACATGGAGTAATGGAGAGACTGCCGAGACTCATCAAGGAGTAATGGTCTCAAGTTTCAGTGGGGGAGGTTTAGGTTGGATATTAGGAAAATTGTTTTCATTATGAGGGTGGTGAAGAACCGGAATGGGTTACCTAGGGAGGTGGTGGAATCTCCTTCCTTAGATGTTTTTAATATCAGGCTTGACAAAGCCCTGGCTGGGATGATTTAGTTGGGGATTGGTCCTGCTTTAAGCAGGGGGTTGGACTAGATGACCTCCTGAGGTCCCTTCCAACCCTGATATTCTATGATTCTATGATTAATTAACCCAGAGTAAGTAATTAATACCTGGGGAAGCAAATAACTGTACATATCTCTCTATCAGTGTTATAGAGGGCGGACAATTTATGAGTTTACCCTGTATACGCTTTATACAGAGAAAAAGGGATTTATTTGGGATTTAGACTCCCAGAAAGACTGAATACTGGGTGCTGGGAAAGTCTCTGTTAACTAAGAAGCCCCTGAGCTGAGTGGATTTCAGTTTCAGTGACTTGCAGGGGGTGTGTCTTACTCAGCAAGACAGGAGTGGAGGGAAGCCTTCTCTGGCAGGGGGTTGTTCTCAGAACATATTCTGTGGTATCTGTAGAACAACACCACTGCATTAAAGACAGAAAATTAAACCCTAGTGGTTGAGAAATGACTGCATGTGTATGTTTATTAGCAGTGGGGGATGCAACTTCTCTCTCAGCCACGAGGTTCCTGTTTTTCATTTACTTAAACCCATGAGGAGAAAAGCCCAGGCTGATTTTCTGAGTGAAGAGGTCCAAGAGCTGTCTGGGATATATCTCCATCTCCAGCACCTCCCAGCTCATCTTAGGGGCTCTCCTCTCCCTGTCTCTCCTCTTCTGACAGGTGGGAGAAGTGGTGGCAGACACTCCAGATGGGAATGACTCCATGACTGGCCTGTGGCTTTAGGGAATTAAAAGATCAATTCTAAATGCAATAACAATATAAATATATAAAGAAGAGGGGTCGGCAACAATCTCCAAATGGCATCAGAGGTTACTTACGCTGAGGTAAAGTTCAAGAATGCTCCACCACCACCTGCAGAGACCAAAGGTAAACTACAGACTATTTAGGGGAATGGGCTATGGAGACTTTCACTTTTGCGGCACCATTTCCCATCTAGCCCTAGGCTAGGGGCAGAGTCTGGCTCAGGGGAATCAGGAAGCTGCTTGTTAGAGCCTTTCCCCTGTAGGTCACTGGCTGCCATCTGACCCTGAGATAATGTTGGTATAGATGAGATTTTTGCCAATACCTGGGCAGTGATGAAGGGAAATTTCTAGGGTACAGGGGATCAAGAAAAAAGTTATGGATCTGAAAGAGATTCAGGGAGGGAAATCTCCAGAGGAGATGCACTGAGGGCATTAGAGGTTAGATCATTTCAGAACCTCACTTGCATATCCACATAGAGACAAAGGGCTGAGATACAGAGAGGGGGATCTCTAGGGACACACCCGGTGTGTGTGTGGCTGGAACAGCTCAGAGCAAGGTTAAGATGTGAAGGATAATGTATGGGGTCATACCAGCAATAGAATTAGGAGAGCCCACAAGGAGGAGATATGGTATTGAAGTCTGTACCCACCAAGATGTTGTTAGCTAAAAGATTCAGGGGCCCAGGGAACGTTACGTTGCCTAGAAGAGGGGCAGTGACAGCAATTAAACATACTGTTGTCAGGGCTTTTCCAGAGTACAGACAGGACCTGCAGTATCTCAGGGGCAGGCAGGGAGGAGAACCCAGAGCAGAGATTTCATGATGGCTGCCTGTCCTCTGTACCCATCATGAGAGCCAGCATTGAATGCAGGGGCACGTAATTTGCCCGGATTGGGTGCAGAATTGAATTGGGTGAATAACTCGGGGGTTTTTTTGGTTCACTGGCAGATCTGAAAAAAAATCAGTTTGGGTCAAAATGAATCCATTTTTTGAAATTTTCAGTAAATTGTAAAAGTCGAGAGAAGTTCCTATCAGGTTGAGCTAAATGTTTTGTTTCTGGGCATTTTTTTAAAGGGCTAGGTGCATAAAACAGGTGGAGTTGGTGGTGCCCCCTCCTTCAGCGTAGTTCTTAGGGCACTCACCTGAGAGGTGGGAGACCGAGATTCAATTTCCTCTCTACAACAGGTATTTGAACCTTGGTTGCATCCCCTCATGTTTACCCTAACCATTAAGCTGTAGAGTCATTTTCTCAGTCTGGTCTAATGACTGTGTGTTTTTCACAAAGAGGAAGAGTTTCTGCAGGAGAGACTGAAAAGAACTCTACTCCTAGAATACATGATTGCCCCGTTGTGAGGGGACTCCCCTGGCAAGGGGCAACCCTAAGTTCAAGTCCTTATCAATAAGTACTAGTTAGTTCTTTATACAAACTGAAACAGTTTCAACAGGGACAAGTGAGACACCCATCCCTGACGAGCCGGATGGTTAGGAGAGGGAGAGGCTGGGATCAACTCCCTGTTCTCAAACAGCAAGTCAGATATGGGTCTTCCATGTCCAAGGGTGAGTGCCCTAACCACTGATCCAAAGGTTATAAGGGGGCACCTCCTCTGCTGGCTGTTTTGTGAATGGTACCTGTGACGGGTTGGATCACAGAAACCCCCTTGGGGCTGCCAACTGATGTGCCAAGACTACTACTGCCCTTGCTTTCTTTGCCAGCTTGGGACTCCAGAACCCTGCCTGGTTGTGCCCAGACACGCTTGCCAGCTACAAACACAGATCCAGGTTTGAACCACGTCCCACAAACTGCAGGCTTAACTGAAAGCAGTTTTAAAAGTGTTCTTGACTCAGACACTCAGATGCCCAACTCCCAGTGGGGTCCAAACCCCAAATAAATCCGTTTTATCCTGTATAAAGCTTATACAGGGTAAACTCATAAATTGTTCGCCTTCTATAACACTGATAGAAAGATATGCACAGCTTTCCCCCCCCCCCCGCCCCCCAGGTATTAATACATACTCTGGGTTAATTAATAAGTAAAAAGTGATTTTATTAAATACAAAAAGTAGGATTTAAGTGGTTCCAAGTGATAACAGACAGAACAAAGTAAGTTACAAGTCTATGCCTAATACAGTAAGAAAACTGAATACAGATAAAATCTCACCCTGTGAGACCCCAACCCTTCATTCCTCCCAGCCTGACTCAAAGGAAGGCCTGCAAGCAAACAGAGCCATCCACAGTCAATTCTCCTGGTTGATGGGAGCCATCAAGTTTCCAAACCACCATTAATGGCCCACACTTTGCATAATTACAATAGGCCCTCAGAGGTATATTTCATATTTCTAGTTTCAGATACAAGAATGATACATTCATACAAATAGGATGACCACACTCAGTAGATTATAAACTTTGTAATGATACCTTTCAAGAGACCTTTTGCATGCAGCATATTCCAGTTATATTATATTCACACTGATTAGCATATTTTCATTAAATTATATAGAGTGCAACGTCACAGTATCCTAGTCCCCTTCTGAATCTAGCTCCCTGAAAAAAATATATTAAATTAATCAATATTTTTTGTTAGACTGAAACAGCATTTTTTGGTGAATAAACTGTCATCCAAAAATTTTTGCCCAGCTCTAGAGAAGAATAGAACTGAGAGAAGAAGGAAACAAAGGCTGAGTAGAAGAGATGGGCTTGAACCAAATCCCTGGAGACTTTAAGTATCTGAGATCTGAAACTGGATCCAGTTTTGTGCCTCATGCCTATCTCTGCTGAAAAGTAACTAACATTTAATGATCAAAAATTGAAAATTGTTATTGCTATTAACAAATGTTGTATATAATTATGCAAATTTACTAGGCACTTTACAAACATCAGAGATGTTCCCTGCCCCAATGACCTTACAGCCTAACTGGCCTGGTCGCTGCTCTGAACACGCTACAGGTGAAGACAAGACAAACAGCAATGTAAGGAAGAATACTTCAGAAGCAGCAACATGTAGCACGACCATAAAGGAGGAGAAGTTAGGAGGGGTTTCTAGAGGAAGGCAGTGGAACCTGAGGCAGACTGAAAACAATCCACAAGTCAGAAGCTGCATGGGAGAAAGCACAAAGCGGAATGTGCAAGAAGGATCTATAGGGAGATGACAAGCGTGTGTGGATCAGCAGGAATAGAAGGGAGTACCATATAGGGAGGAGGTGCAGGCTGGTCCATATTTATTTGGATATAGAAATTGCTCTGCCCTGTGGGTCTCCATCCCAAGCTGCAAGTCCTTGAGCACAACCCCACGATGTGGCAGGGTTATATACACGTATTCAGTGCTGTCAAGGATATTTGCAATCTGACTTTGCAGCTCTGCCCTCAGATTTGCCAACCTCAGCTGCCTTGACAGAGAACTGCCTGGGGTCTTTCCCTGCCTGCTTCAGGAAAGGAGTCACAGAAGCCAGACATGCATGCACAGTTGAGGTGACTGACTCACTGACATTGTGCTGTCATTGAGGCTCGGATGTACTGTACTCAGATGTTCCTCCTGCCCTCACTCGTGCTCCTGTCAAGATGAGCGAGTGCTAGTTTAATATTCCCCCATGTCCTGTTCCAAAGGCATTTGATGAGTCTGCTCTTGCAGGTGAACATTGGGAGGTTCCAGGGCATGCTCAAACACTGCTGCCAGTAACGTGGGGGGTGCCTAAGGGACCCTGGATTGATCATAGCTAGTACATTACTTTCAGAGAGCCGTAGAAATATCCAGTGGCAGATTTAGAGTTAGTGGGGCCCTGTGCTCAGCTTCATTTTGGGGGCCCTACCTCGCATTTTTCATTTTTTTCCTGCATTCTCCACCTGGGGCTCAGGGCTGGGGGTGCAGGGTTTGGGTGGGAGTTAGGGTTTGGGAGGGTGCTCAGGGTTGAGATGCAGGGTGTAGGAGGAAGTTAGGGTGTGGGAGCGGGCTGGGGCTGGCGGTGCAGGGTCTGGGTGGGAGTTAGGGTGCAGGAGGGGGCTGATGGTTGGGGTACAGGGTCTGGGAGGGAGTTAGGGTGCAGGAACAGGCTGGGGATGGGGGGGTCTGGCCTGGAGTTAGGGTGCGGGAGGGGGATCAGGGCTGGGGCAGGGGATTGGGGTGCGGAGCACTTACCTGGGGCAGCTCCCATTTGGTGCAGAGGGTGCAGGTGCGGGGAGTTCAGGTGGCTCCGTGCAGCCCTGTGCTTGCCCCGCAGGCACCACCCCCTGCAGCTCCCATGGGCTGCAATTCTCGGAGCAGCCTCCGCCCCCCACCTCCCGCTAGGCAGGGCTGGAACACAAGGGCTTTAGGGGCTGCAGCCCAGGGCTAAGTGGGCCTCGGAGACCTGGGCTGCAGCCCCTAAAGCCCCATCCCCTTTCTGAATCTGGCCCTGCAAGCACGGGCTGGAGGACTCAGGAGGAGCAGGGGCAGCCACGCAGCTGGAGAGAAGCGGTGGCTTCCCCTTCAAATCGCTGCTTCTCTCCGTTCCCAGTGCTCCCGCCACCCACACCTCCTGCCTGCTCCTCTGAGGCTGTGGGTGAGCCTCCCTCCCTGCTCTCCTGCTCCCCACAGCTTCTATCCCCACAGCCCCTCTCCCGTGGAGCAGCCCCCCCACAGGGGGTGCACCAGTGCTGAGCTGCCTGAGTGCCTGGCCCTGGGGCCCCCTGTTGTTGGGGGGCCCCATGCCAGAGCACTGTGTTTCATGGTAAATCTGCCCCTGGAAATATCCAGCAATGCTATTGCAGTGTTGTCTCTCACAGAGTCAGGGTCTCTCTAGATGACTTGGGTGAGTGATTAGAAGATAAGGGGTGTGACTAAAGTGCTGGCTGCTGCTCTAGTGCTCATGGATAATTACTTTGGTCATGTTGACCCCATGGTCAGTGACAACAAAGCTGAACATAGGGTGCCTGTCTTCTAGCCACATTCCCAAGATTCTCTGCAGAATGTTCTGGTGTGTGTAGAGTGGTATAGTGAGGGCCTCCCATGAGTGGGGCTGGTACTAGACAGACAACTGGCAGAGACACAGGAAGATGGGAAGAAGGAGGCAGCAAATAACTACCCAGCAGCTCCACTGCAATGGCAACTGCTCCAGGGGACCATCAAAGACTGATGGGGGTGAGTTTCATGTTGCCCAGCTATCCATGGTGCAATGGAAGAGAACCCCCAACATCCTCCTTGAGAAGCTTGGAAACTCCTAAATAGGACAATGTGCTGGAGGGGGCTCTCAGGAGCTGCATGTTAAAATGTCAGCACCAGAGGGAAGAGAATATTGGGGGTTTTCCCTGCCTCTGATGGAGAAGTTTTACTTCCTTTTTGTCTACTGCTGAGCCAGCCACTCAGATACCGCCACAGTGATAGATATGAAGGTAGGTAGATCCTGCCAGAGATGACTTATCCAAAGGGCTTATAAAAGTGCATCGGAACAATCACTATTTTACCTTTGGAATGGGGCAGAAGGGAGCGGAGTCAGGGATTTAAAAATCTTCCAGAGGAGGAGGCCTCCTGATCTTCCCTGCAAAGATCATGCATAGACACAACCACACGGCCCCAGTTAATGAGCACAGTGTACAGGGCCTCCCGGGGGGGGGGGGGGGGAAATGGGGCAATTTGCCCCAGGCCCTGGACCCCACAGGGGCCCCCGGCCCTGCCTCTGCCTTCCCCCATCCCCCGGCGCCTCAGTGCTGCAGCGGCGTAGCTCCGGCGGGGCCTGAGCTCCTCCCACTGAGTCAGAGCCGTGTGGTAAGGAGATGGGGCTGCAAGCTCCGGTCCCGCTGGAACCACGCTGCTGCAGCGCTGTCCAGGGGCCAGGGCAGCTCCTGCACACGGCGCGCTGAGGCTCCGAGAGAGAGGAAGGCGGCGGGAATCACACCCCAGCTCCAAGCATAGACTGAGCACGTCTCTTCAGGTATTCCAGCTCCATGTTAGCTGCAGGGAACAGAGAACTAAAGCTTTCCACACCCTAGATTTTTTGCAACAAATCCATAGCCAACCAGGACTTGATGGTGGTCACTCTGCTGCATCTGGCCATTTGGCATTTCATACCAACATCAGAGGTAGAACCCAGATTCATCAGCTTCCGCAGCACAGCCTGCTGCTTGTGGAATTAAGGAGAATTCCTACATGCCAGTCAAGTCTCAGTCCCCTCTCCTCCATGTTAATTGGGTGAGTTATGCACCAGTTTTCATAATGGCCAGAGAAGTCCCTTTGATGGCCATTACAAACATTTTCACTGTATTTCTTGTCCATTTTTCTCATGAAAAGAAAACCACTAGATCTAGATTATTTTCTATAGGGTCTCTTTTGATTAAGCAGTTGTGCATATGACTCACTGTCTAGGACTTCATCTCCCAGAGGAGCGCCTCAGGTTTATTATTTTTTTCCAGCCGCCCCGCAGGTTTTTGTTGTTGTTTTTTTGCTTGGGGCGGCAAAAAAGCCAGAGCCGGCCCTGCGGGAGGCACAGCCTTCCCTACCCTAAACCTCATTCAGCAGTTTGAGGCTTGCAGACAGCTATTTAACACAAAGAGCCAAGCTGTTATCTTTCCCTTAGGGCTACCATCCCTTTCACTTCTCAAATGCCAAATTATGGTCTACATTTAATTTCAGTGCCATGGGGAAATTCATGTCAGGGGAGGGTAGCTTCATTTAAAATTAGCCACTTTAGATTAACAGTGATAGAGCCAAGAGAGCCATGGGGGAGGGATCACATGAGAAGAGCAATATCCTACACCATCTACCTCCTTCCCAACCCTACCAAGGGAGATTCCCCTCCCCTGCATTCCCCGAGGCTCCAGAGGGGTTAATTCAGTGGTTCTCAAACTTTTGTACTGGTGACCCCTTTCACATAGCAAACCTCTGAGTGCAATCCCCCCTTATAAATTAAAAACACTTTTAAATATATTTAACACTATTATAAATGCTGGAGGCAAAGCGAGGTTTGAGGTGGAGGCTGACAGCTCGCGACCCCCAGTAATAACCTTGTGACCCCCCCGAAGGGTCCTGACCCCCAGTTTGAGAACCCCTGGGTTAATTTAATTTTAGCACCATGTGTCCATTCACATGAATGTGCTATTTTGAGCATTTCAGTTTTCACAACATAGGCTCATCCCAGATTCTGGAACAAGCTCAAATGCTCAGTTTGTGGAGTATGTACATAAGCTATACTAAAGACAAACCCACAGTAACCGTCTCCAGTTTGTGAGGGACCCCATGGAGCCAGTCTCTAGGAAACAGATAAATTCATGGAGGTTAAGTCCATTAATGGCTATTAGCCAGGATCTGTAAGGAATGGTGTCCCTAGCCTCTGTTTGTCAGAGGGGGAGATGGATGGCAGGAGAGACATCACTTGATCATTACCTGTTAGATTCACTCCCTCTGGGGCACTTGGCTTTGGCCACTGTCAGTAGACAGGATACTGGGCTGGATGGACCTTTGGTCTGAGCCAGTATGGCCATTCTTATGTTCTAACCTAAACGAACCCAAAGTTATGGAGACAGATATGAGTCAAGGAAGCCAGCAGAGTATCAGAAAGCTGGAAAAATCTCTGACTGGATGGGCTCAGGCGTTTGGTCACAAGCTGAGGTGGTTCAAAAGTTTTGGATTTTTTTTAAGCTGGATTTTTTTATTGTTTCTTTAAATAATCAAACACAGCAAGCAGCAAATATTTGGCCACACACTTCTGAAACCCCAAACCATGTTCAGGTTTTGGCAGACTAATTTCAGCTTTTCAATTAAAAAAAACCACAACAAATTTTGAAGGAAAGCAGACATTGTCTGTGATTTTTTTCTGCTTTTTAAAAAACCCCCTAGTTTTCGATCCAAAAAAAAGTTTTGACGGAAAATATTTGTCCAACCCTTTTAGCACTAGCTGATGCTGAGAACCAGTGATACCTTGTAAAGGTGACTTGAAAAGAAGT